AAATAAATAAATCTCGGTTACAACATAACCGATAATAACACTTGAGTCAGTTTTTACAACAGTTAAAACACGTCTATTAAAGGCAAACAATTTGTGTTTGTGTTGGAATTACCAAGTGGAGTTTCTTTCAGTTGAGTTCATGTACAGTGCTTGTCTAATATAACTGTATACTCTTCCCGGCTTACCTTGCGACGATTTCGGGGCTCAACGTCCCCGCGGCCCGGTCCCCGACCAGGCCTCCTGGTGGCTAGTCAACCAGGCTGTTGGAAGCGGTTGCTCGCAGCCTGACGTATGAGTCCCAGCCTAATTGATCAGGTATCGGCGCCTTTCGACAAATTACTCGAAATTGTTTGAAATATATTGTTAGCCCAATATAACGATAAAGGCAATCTTTGACTGTTTTCTTGCATGCAAATACACATTGTTGAGCCCCTTATCGCCGTTCGTCTAACCACAAAAAAAAATAATTCAGCAACTCTACGACGAGCAAGATTCCCTCTGCAATTCCACCTGGGGACACATGTGTGTCCACGCGTCCTGCCCACCTCAGCACCACCACCCAGAGACTAAATAGTGCCTGGGGCCCCCATCCCGTAGTAACAATTGAGGGGCCCAGCAATATCTGGGCCCAGCCCCATCTAGCACTAGTTGTCCAAGGGCTAAGGAAGTCAGAAAGGTCTCCCGCCGTACCTCATAGTCGTAGATTGAAACACACACACACACACACACACACACACACCATTCCTGGGATTCCTGAGCCCAATAGGCTCAGGAATCTGTACACCTGTTGATTGACGGTTGAGAGGCGGGACCAAAGAGCCAGAGCTCAACCCCCGCAAACACAACTAGGTGAGTACTAGGTGAGTACACACACTTATGGCGATTAGTAAAACTAGGCCACACTTGGCTTACAAATTATGTGAGAACACTCACAAGAACACGGTCAAGGAGACAAATTTAGTGCTTGTGGTGGAGAGCACTGTCACCCGCGGAGCACATCATGGGCATAGCCACAGGAGGCCTATGCTAGACTGGTCAATTTAAGAAGTAGCTTCAAACACATGAATGGATACATGTTTAACAGGATACGTCTCCCAATTTTAACTAAGTTAGATTTTACATCACTTGACTGATGTCCATACCTCAACGCAAGTCCGACGAAGCGTCATATTTGATGTGGCTTTAAATGCCACTATATATATATATATATATATATATATATATATATATATATATATATATATATATATATATATATATATATATATATATATATACCTTTGTCATGTTCTATTTCTTGATTCTTCGGAGTGGTTATCCCACCCCTCGAGGCCTCGGGGGGGGGGGGGTATTTTTTCAAATTTGTTTTCTTTAACCATGTTTCTGACCAGACCAGTAGGCCTGCTGGTCAGAAACCAGATTAAGAATTCTCAGGAACAAATGCTCGATATCCCGTGGAAGCTCATCAGGTCCAGCAAGCCAGAGCCTGATGCAAGGTGATGCAACACGTCCTTCTCAAGGTAAATAATGCTATCATGACACCAGTGCACACAGCAACACCAGTGCACACAGCAACACCAGTGCACACAGCAACACCAGTGCACACAGCAACACCAGTGCACACAGCAACACCAGTGCACACAGCAACACCAGTGCACACAGCAACACCAGTCACCACAGCAACACCAGTGCACACAGCAACACCAGTGCACACAGCAACACCAGTGCACACAGCAACACCAGTGCACACAGCAACACCAGTGCACACAGCACCAACAGTCACCACAGCAACACCAGTCACCACAGCAACACCAGTCACCACAGCAACACCAGTGCACACAGCAACACCAGTGCACACAGCAACACCAGTGCACACAGCAACACCAGTGCACACAGCAACACCAGTGCACACAGCAACACCAGTGCACACAGCAACACCAGTCACCACAGCAACACCAGTGCACACAGCAACACCAGTGCACACAGCAACACCAGTGCACACAGCAACACCAGTGCACACAGCAACACCAGTGCACACAGCAACACCAGTGCACACAGCAACACCAGTGCACACAGCAACACCAGTGTACACAGCAACACCAGTGCACACAGCAACACCAGTGCACACAGCAACACCAGTGCACACAGCAACACCAGTGCACACAGCAACACCAGTGCACACAGCAACACCAGTGCACACAGCAACACCAGTGCACACAGCAACACCAGTGCACACAGCAACACCAGTGCACACAGCAACACCAGTGCACACAGCAACACCAGTGTACACAGCAACACCAGTGCACACAGCAACACCAGTGTAGACAGCAACACCAGTGCACACAGCAACACCAGTGCACACAGCAACACCAGTGTACACAGCAACACCAGTGCACACAGCAACACCAGTGCACACAGCAACACCAGTCACCACAGCAACACAGGTAAACATACCAGCACAGGTAAACATACCAGCACACATAGAACATCTGTTAACAACCTCAAAATGGATGATCACAGTGAAGAACATCTCATTATAACATATATGTAATCATAGAATAACCTGTGGAGGAAATATCTAGTCACCAGCGGTATTATATACCCAATTGAGTCCGAAATTCGACAGTTAGTGGTTTTTGTGGAGAGCAGACACAGGAGTGGTTAGAGGAGGCGACTGTCTGAGTGGACTGTTAACTGGCACAACATTAACTGATAGCCAAAATGAGGCCATTTTTTTTTTTTTGTATGTCCGGTTTGTTAAGGTCTTTTTGGAGCAGGTCTCGTTGGGGAGAAAAGCTTGTTAATGAAGTGGTTAAGTGGTGTTAGCAGACACTATACTTCCCTTACAACAGGGCAAGGGAACTATGAGGGGAAAGCGCCAATTACAACAGGGGCAAGCCAAGTGTATTATTATCTACTTAACATTTATTATCTACTTAACATTTATTATCTACTTAACATTTATTATCTACTTAATAGGCTCCAGTGTTGTCTTTTAACATATATTATCCGCAACAACGACTGATACTTTTGATAACTGGGGGAGGGGGAGGAGGGAAAGGGGGTGGGGGAGGGAGTGGGGAAGGAGGAGGGGGTAGCTGGTGGTGTCTGGAATAGTCTGTATCTCCTTCAACCCCCCCCCCCCTCTCCCGTTATCTCCCGTCTCCCCCACCCTCTTCCCCCCCCCCCATCTCCTCTTCTCATTCGGCTACCCCCTCCCCCTTGCCTCTTATTTCCCGCCTCTGCTCCTCTTTATCCCCCTCTAACCCCCCTTTTTTTGGGGGGGTGGGGGAGTAAAGAGTAAGGAGAGGCATAGGTGAAGGGAAGTTTAGAAGTGGGAAATACAGTTTATGAAAGCAGGCGGGCTGTCCGCCTTGCTGACACGATGTGTGGGTGTTGGCAGCTAGGCTAAGCTTGCTCTCTCTTGTCAGGGAGCTGTGAGTGTGTGAGAGGTGCTTCCTGTTCATATTTCACCCCTTCTACCCCACCTCTTCCGGTCATTTTCCCCCTCCCTCCCTCCCTCTCTCCCGTCATCTTTCCCCCTTGCCCTGCCTTTCCCTTCATCTTCCCCCTGTCCCTGCCTCTCCCATTTTACACCTTAACTACATACTATATTCATCACCATAGCCATCTTCAATATCTTCATCACTGTAACCCGAATGAATTCAGTTCATCGTTTTCTATTAAACCACGAAAATGCGCGGGTAAACTTTCAGAAAGACACGTTGTGATCTCTTTTCAGACGCCATGAAATCGCACAGGGAGTGGTTGGGGGGGGGGGGCGTTTACAGGTTGATATTTCTCAAAGTATATAACTTAGGCCCACCAGAGCAGTCTGTGTCCGCCCCGTACCCCACATCATTCACCCTGCAAAGTTGGGTGAGGCTGGCACTAAGCGTCTGGCTTTCAACTTTAGACAGGCCAGGCTGAGGTGAGACCATGCTGGGTGTGGTGGTGAGAACGGGCTGGCTGTGGTCGGAAGAACGGGCTGGCTGTGGTCGGAAGAACGGCCTGGCTGTGGTCGGAAGAACGGCCTGGCTGTGGTCGAAAGAACGGACTGGCTGTGGTCGGAAGAACGGCCTGGCTGTGGTCGGAAGAACGGCCTGGCTGTGGTCGGAAGAACGGGCTGGCTGTGGTCGGAAGAACGGGCTGGCTGTGGTCGGAAGAACGGGCTAACTATGGTCGGAAGAACGGCCTGGCTGTGGTCGGAAGAACGGGCTGGCTGTGGTCGGAAGAACGGACTGGCTGGGGTCGGAAGAACAGACTGGCTGTGGTCGGAAGAACGGGCTGGCTGTGGTCGGAAGAACAGACTGGCTGGGGTCGGAAGAACGGACTGGCTGTGGTCGGAAGAACGGCCTGGCTGTGGTCGGAAGAACGGGCTGGCTGTGGTCGGAAGAACGGGCTGGCTGTGGTCGGAAGAACGGGCTAACTATGGTCGGAAGAACGGCCTGGCTGTGGTCGGAAGAACGGGCTGGCTGTGGTCGGAAGTACGGCCTGGCTGTGGTCGGAAGAACGGCCTGGCTGTGGTCGGAAGAACGGCCTGGCAGTGGTCGGAAGAACAGACTGGCTGGGGTCGGAAGAACGGACTGGCTGTGGTCGGAAGAACGGACTGGCTGTGGTCGGAAGAACGGCCTGGCTGTGGTCGGAAGAACGGCCTGGCTGTGGTCGGAAGAACGGCCTGGCTGTGGTCGGAAGAACGGACTGGCTGTGGTCGGAAGAACGGACTGGCTGTGGTCGGAAGAACGGGCTGCGTGTCCCAGTAGCACATCGTCCATACTACCCTACCTTTACTACCATCAAATAAAAAACAAAAGAAAGTCGACCGCAGATAGTATCCCCAACCGTCACCTCCCAGACGCGTCCTTAAATGGTTCGTTCGCTTCTCTTGGCGGGCCTTCTTGACCGATCCTTTCCGTACATATTCACCCAAACGAGGTCATGTGGGAGCGGAGTATATAAAGGACTCGTGGAGCCCGTAGCAGCTCAGAATAGAGTCCAAGACTGCCCGGACAACATCACAGTCTCGTTCCTCCACAGTGAGTATTACTGGATAGTGATCCTTTGGCGAAGCTTGTGGCGGTGTGTCTGGGGCGGTGGCGGGAACTTCGACTCTTCGTGGCCGCTATGAGAGCCGTCGTCGTGGTGGTGCGGCACAAGGAATCAGATTCGTTTTGTTGCGACACGGGGAATCAGATCCGTTCTGTTGCGAGGGAATCAAAGTCGTCCCAAATGAGACCCCAAGTCTCTCTCAAGACACTCCACATCCCCTCCTTCGCTGGGTCGTGGTCCAAGTACCACTATAGTCCCCAGTTCGAGATTGTTCATATATAACCATTTTTATACAGATGAGTGGCACAGTCAGCTATAGTTGTGCTTGACGGTGGTAGAGCCACAGGCCGCGGTCAAGCTAACAACCAGTTATAAAAGCCATATAACTATTATTATTTGAAGGATTATCGCCAATTATTTCCTCCACATCTTTATAAAAAAAAAGGTTAGCATAGGACTTCGTCAATGTTAAATATGATTCAGTATCACGGCGCCATTGCAAACGTTTTCCCCCCATTCGTACAACAGAGATTCGCGACGTACGAACCCTGGGGAAAGAAAGAAATTAAATCATAACAATAGCGAGAGGACATTTTAATCTACGATTGTTTGAAAGAATGATTTCTTTTTGTCTTAACTAGAGCATGAAATTTATGTGGGATATTCTCCAGTAAATGATACTGTAGAGAATGTCGAGGAAGTAGGGGGTCCTATGTTTAGGGTCCTACATGAGGGGGTTCTACACGAAGGGGTCCTATGTGTGGGGTCCTACACGAAGGGGTCCTATGTGTGGGGTCCTACACAAAGGGGTCCTATGTGTAGGGTCCTACACGAAGGGGTCCGATTTGCGTGGTGGTGTTTTAGTGGGGTCCCCACGAAAAGGTCCCAAGCCAAGCCTTCGTACACACACACAAACACCTCGAATTTTACAACCTCTTGCATTACTGACGGTAGAGTATAGACAGGTTCCTGTACTGCCGTCAGTGGTGCATGAAGACACGCATTACTGACAGTAAACAAGGCTGCCCCTAGTATCATCAGTGGTACCCATAATTTAGCTTGGTTTGCAGGTCGTAACGACACGTTCACATACGATATCAAAGCCCAACAAAGAGACGTCAGTCGTAGACCAATAACGATTTTGAGGGAGGAGGGACGGAGAAGGGGGGAGGGGGGTGTTACCTTGCGCTGGTTACCTGGCGTTGGTTTCGGGAACGTTGATTCCACGGGCGTTGAAACTAAGGGGGGGCTGCGGGTTGCTACATATCATGATGAGAGGTGGACAAGCAACTCATCACTGCCTCGCTCAGGGAGCGTCCGCGTTCGTCTCCCTGACTACTCAAACCGGTAAGGAAAAACCCGCCCCCTCCCTGATGTAATGGTTGGCCCGCCTTGCTAAGCACCTCCCTACAACCCGACCACAACCCAAGCGTCCACCTACAACCCCCTAGCACTCGCCCACAACCCACAATCTGAGCATCTTCCACAACGAACATGATCGTTCTAAATACCATACTATATGACTCTCCAATCGTAACCCATCGCTACGTTGTGCTCTATTCTTTTTACTGTGTCCCCCTGTTTCCAATCCAGTAGGTATTCCCTTTTCAATCCCGGTACTGTTTCTATTACACACGGGTTCTTATTGAACTATGTTAAATATGCTCCCGCGTCGAACACTTTCTGGTAGTCAAGGAAGGCACAGTCTAACCCATTCGTCCTTCACCTGTTTAATGGTTTTCATCATGGTATTAATCTATATAACAGGTTTATCAGACATTACACGCTGTCAATGAGCCCATGTTAATGTTTAATACCAAAGAAAATTTTTGTCCCAGATCTACTAAGTATTCTAATTATGATTCATCCAGTCTCAGTATATCTATAAATTTCCTAAACATAGTTAAAATGGCGTTTAAACATTATATATATCAGCCAGCATCTAATTATTATTGACTGTATCAGTGATAGGAACTACTGTTCTGTGAGGGGTTTTATTCAACAAAGAACATCAGGAATAATACCAGGATATTGGAGGGTTACAGAACACAGAACATCCGGAATAACACTAAGATATTGGTTCTTTTCCACCAATAAATACTTGTAAGTTAGCAGAGCTCTGTCGAGTGCTCTGATCAGGATTCATCAAGCACTTACGCACCTCTTACGAAACCTATAAAGATTCCCTGATAGGGGCCTGACGGCTGAGTGGACAGCGCCCGGGATTCATCGTCCTAAGGTTCCGGGTTCGATCCCCAGTGGAGGCAGAAAAAAATGGTCAGAGTTTCTTTCACCCTGATGCTCGTGTTCACCTAGCAGTAAATAGGTACCTGGGAGTTAGACAGCTGCTACGGCCCACTTCCTGAGGATGTGTAACAAAAAGAAGGCCTGGTCGAGGACCGGGCCACGGGGACGCTAAGACCCGAAATCATCTCAAGATAACCTCCCTCAATCATGGCGGCTTTGTCTACATTTATTATTGCTATAAGACAGCTTCGTGGTGCCTCAGTGCTCATAAACTGTTTATTAAGTGTAAACAAAGTCACAATGATTGAAGAAAGATGTACAGGTTTCGTAAGAGGCTTTGGCATACAAGGAGATGCTTCAGCAGTACACGCGACGACCTCCTTGGCTGTGTAGCGCGCGGTAGTATCAAGACTGACAACGAGGTTATCTTGAGGTTATCTTGAGATGATTTCGGGGCTTAGTGTCCCCGCAGTCCAGTCCTCGACCAGGCCTCCTTTTTGTTACACACCCCCAGGAAGCAGCCCGTAGCAGCTGTCTGCTACCCCCCTGCACAACCACTTGGGCTCTACGGTAGAACACGGTCTCGCTTCATGCAGGTCGGCGTTCAATCCCCGACCACCCAAGTGGTTGGGTACCATTCCTTCCCCCCCCCCCCCCCCGTCCCATCCCAAATCCTTATCCTGACCCCTTCCCAGTGCTATATAGTCGTAATGGCTTGGCGCTTTCCCTGATAAATCCCCCCCCCCCAAGGGTATGGATACCATGGGGTTAAGCACACCTCTAGAACATGGAAAAAGAAAAACATGTACTTTTCTATATTATAAAAGTACAGACACGAGCATGTTTTTTTGGGTCAGAGTGAGTAATTATGAGGAGAAAGCTCCCAGCCATTACGACTATATATCACATGGAAGGGATAGTAGGACAGGATAGGAACTCTGATTGGAAGACGGCGTGAAGGAACGGTTCGCAACCACTTGGGCTGGACGGTAGTGCAACGGTCTCGCTTCATACAGGTCGGTGTTCAATCCCCGACTGTCCACAAGTGGTTTGGCACCATTCGTCACCCCTCCCTCGTCCCATCCCAAATCTTTGCCATGATCCCTTTCAAATGCTATATAGTCGTAATGGCTTGGCGCTCTCCCCTGATAATCTCCCCTCCCCTGGGCATGGAACTCCAACTCAGCAAAACGGGAGTCAGTTGCTGTGTCGACCAGTCCAAGTGGCAGGCGTATTGCGAGTGAAATAAACAGGTCACCCCATAAAAGAAAGCAAGGGGGGTTGCAACAAAGAAAAGAATGCATTAGGAAACAAAGTGGAGGAGGATTCAGAGAGCAGCTTTCTCTCTCTATAATTTATTTCGTTCTTCTTTTTCCACGTGAACATTAGGGAACAAAATATTCTTAAATATTGAATGTTAATGTTCGCTCGCTTTAAAACTGTTGTTATTACTAAGAATACACGCAGCTGAGTGGTTATGTTGAAGGTTTAACATGGCGTTCAGTTATATAATTGTCTTCTCTGGTATAAAATCGTTGCCCAAGGGACACAGTGGTTACCCTAGACTTTACAGTGGGTACCCTAGACACATAGTGGTTGCCCTAGACACATAGTGCTCCACCTAGACTTTACAGTGGGTACCCTAGACACATAGTGGGTACCCTAGACACACAGTAGGTGCCCTAGATACATAGTGGCTCCACTTAGACACACACACATAGTGACTGCCCAAGAAACACACACACACGCACACAGTAGTTACCATAGGCAACATAGTGTGACAATCAACACATAGTGACAATCCCTAGACAAAGTGATTGCCCTTGACACATAGTGGCTGCCACGGACACATAATGTCTACTCAAGACACAGAACCACTGAGATAGAGGGGCTAACTACTTACCTCCCGCTTCCTACTATACAGAAGCCGCTGTGTGTAAGACCTCTGGGGCCAGATTCACGAAAGCACTTACGCAAGCACTTACGAACCTGTACATCTTTTCTCAATCTTTGGCGGCTTTGTTTTCAATTATTAAACAGTTAATGAGCTGCGAAGCTCCAGGAGGCTGTTTATAACAATAAAAACAGTTGAGTGGGAAGTTTTCATGCTTGTAAACTGTTTAATAAATGTAACCAAAGCCGTCAAAGATTGAGATGTACAGGTTCGTAAGTGCTTGCCTAACTGCTTCGTGAATCTGGCCCCCTGGCCTTTTAAAGTTGTAGATGGAGTTGGCTTTTACAACCTCTTCTTCTAGGGTATTCCACTTGCTGACCAGCCGTACAGGGTGCGAGCATTTCCAAACATTTCGTAGCCTCATTCGCTTTTCCAACTTCCACTTATGTCATCTCGTCCTACTTGTGCTTATCTATAAATGACTACGGGAGAGTGAGGCGCAGCTCCTGAACCCCTCGACTATTAGCCTCCACTCTATTGTGTTGGTACTAGCGTGTTATCGCCAGAGGAAATGGAAAAAAAAAGTCCTTCATTTATATTAATGTATTCATTATACAGGAAACATTCCACACACACACACACTACAATTATTATTATGCATAAACACCTTTTACTGAGGAACTGTATGTTGGTGTGTGTGTGTGTGTGTGTGTGTGTGTGTGTGTGTGTGTGTGTGTGTGTGTGTGTGTGTGTGTGTGTGTGTGTGTGTGTGTGTGTGTGTGTGTGTGTGTGTGTGTGTGTGTGTGTGTGTGTGTGTGTATGTGTATGTGTGTGTGTGTGTGTGTG